TTATGAGATTGATGCCTGTGGCATGAGAACTCAGAGTCACCTGCAGCAACATTGATATAAACCACCATCTTTACAACCCTTACATCAAGTTAAGTTTAAAAAGCACATTGAGTGTTGTTTGCATACTCAGGCCAGCCTTACAATCTCTAATCTTTCTCTTACAGTACTAAGCCAAAATGTTAATTTTTATCAAATTAACATTTTACTGTTTAAAAAGCTGAAATATGACAGAGTAGCAAAGTATTTACATCAAACAATGAAAATTTGTTCTTCGTAAATAAAATGTTTCTTGAAAATGACATGACCCCATTACTTCTGTGTAGGCAGGGAGGAGGCAGAGTGTACCCAATGTGGTTCCTGTGTAAACTTTAGGAATTCAGTGTTGTATATCAAATATGGAAGCTATGGAAGCTACAGCTTTATGAATTTGAGCTCCTATGACCATGTATTTGTATTAGCCAGACTTGCCAAGAGCATTTCAGGCACTCTTCTATGAAATACAAAAGCTTACTTTTAAATTGTGAGGGCAATTAAAGTGAACATGATAAAAATGACCGGGTACTTATTTCAAACACTAACATGCACATAAAGATATCAAAGGAGACAAAACGATTTGCTCAAAGGCTAAGTAAGTACGGTATTTTTGGTCTTATGAGGACTAAAATGAGTGTTTGAAAAGCAAATGCAGAAGCAAACTGGTTAAACATGCTGAGTTGAACTGGGAAGGTGCTTTTATTGCTGATAGTGCAAAAATGCCCGGTGTAGCATGTTTAATCCAGCCTCAAAGAAATGAAAACTATTTGCAAAGTACAGTCTGAGTCTATAGCTGCATTTCCAGTTGATTAATGACAATTGTGCATGCTGAGCAGCAAGTAAGCTGCTAGGTGTTGAAAGAGCATCATTTTAAGCAAAAGCAGTGAATAAGGAGGTTGCTACATATATGAATCAGCAAAAATCAAAATGCTTGTGTATTGTTAAAGTGATGCTTTGTGGTAGTCAAATCTAAACTTAACCACAAGGAATAGCAGAAGATCTTATCCAGTGTGAGTAACTGGATAATAAAATGGCCAGTAAACCTGGGCATCTGCTGGTGCAAATGAATACACAGTGTGAAAATTAGTTCAAAATGTACCTATTCAAGTACATGGGCATATATGTAACCCAGGAGGTACTGTTCTAATTTCTAGCAATGCTTGTGAAAGAATCTTGGAGTAACTATGAAAAAGTCAACTTATTACTTTAAAGTGTCTGAAAAATGAAAAAAAGTAAATAGGAATTTCTAGAAAATTAGGGAGAATGCAATAGGAAGCATTGCTCTGTGCTTATATAAACTGTGCAGGTACTTGGACCGCTCTTGTTAGAAAGACAAACAAGACTGTGATAAGAATAATAAAGATATATAACAGCTCCTGCAAGGCACAGATTCAACAAATTAGGCCTTTCGGCATAGAATAAAAAGGATGAAGAGAGGAGATGACAGAAGTTTATGAATTTATGAAGGACATGAACAAGGAAAGATAATTAGCTATTAATCCTAATGCTGAGGAGTCAGGAATGTACCATGAAATCATTAAAGGGCAGGTTTTCAGTAAATGAAACTTTTTTTTTTTCACTACACATATTAAGCTATTGAGTTAATTACTCTGGGATCATGTGGATATATATATATATAGAGAGAGAGAGAGAGAGATAGGATAAGTCTTAAATATTTATATAATCCATATACAGGTGACATCAAAACATGCTTAGGCAAAGCAGAGAGTGAAACAAGGGCTATCAAAAGTATAGATCCAGACAGAGCCTCTGAAGGTGCCTGGGGGCTGTTGAATGAAGAAATGCAGACATAGTCTTTGGAAAGCTGTAAGGCATTACTGGAAGATGATGGCAAGAGTTCTGTTATCTTGAAGTAAGGTAAAACCTGTTTCTGAGTTGAGGAAGTTACAACAGTATTTATTTTCCTATTTTTATGAAGCTTTTATTTCCGCATTACTTTACAATCCACAAGAATCAGTGTTTTGTACATACATGTTTTGTATTCCTCACCTTCAGTGCTACCCCTTCCTTACAGATGAACATTTACAGATTCCAGAGTTGTTAAAACTTGTCTCTTGCACCTCCTGCCAATGAGACAGGTGTTAAGCAAAGTGTAGTCAACAAGCCTTCACCCCTGGATTTGTGCTCTGTCAGAATACCTTGCTAGGGTTCCCCTCTCCTTCCCAAATATAGCATTACATACTTCCTTACATATATACTCAAGTAAACAAAAATCAAGACTAAAAATAGCACTCAGCTTTAGCATAGATTTTGTTTGGTTATAAATGAAAAATGCCATGGCAGTACTGAGCAACACAAGCTGTGGATTTCTTCCAAGCATTTACGTTTACCACTATCAAACTTGGGTATTTTTTTATAAAACAGTTAATTCTTCATGACTTTTATTTTTAGATTATTTAAAGATCTTACATTTCAGTAAAGCTTTCAATACTCTTACAGTGTTCTTCTGGACAAAATGTCCAGCACATAGCCATGATGAGTGAGCAACTGGCTCATGGGTCGGGCACAAAGGGTTATAGTGCATGGCGTAACATTGGGTTGGGGATCTGTCAGTGGTGGGGTTCCACAGGGCTCCTTCTTAGGTCCTGTGCTCTTCAACACCTTCATAAATGACTTGCATACAGGACTTGAAGGTACACTGAGTAAGTCTGCTGACTGACACAAAACTGGGAGGAGCTGCTGACTCCCTTGAAGGCAGGGAGGCCCTGCAGAGAGACCTCAACAAATTAGAGGACTGGGCAATCACCAACTGTATGAAGTTCAATGAGGGAAAGTGCTGGATATTGCACCTGGGATGGGGCAACTCTGGATGTACAGACAGAATGGGGAATGAGATGCTGGAAAGTAGTGCCATAGAAAGGGTCCTGGTTGATGGCAAGTTGAATATGAGTGAGCAGTGCCCTGGCAGCCAGGAGGGCGAACCCTGTCCTGGGGGGCATCAGGCAAAGCATCGCCAGCTGGTTGAGGGAGGGGATTGTCTCGCTCTGCTCTGCACTGATGCAGTCTCACCCTGAATATTGTGTGCAGTTTTGGGTGCCACAACACAAGAAAGATATTAAGCTAGTAGAAAGTGTCCAAAGGAGGGCAACAAAGATGGTGAAGGGCCTTGAGGGGAAGCCTCACTTGGTCTGTTTAGCCTGGAGAAGAGGAGATTGAGGGGAGACCTCATTGCAGTCTACAATTTCCTTATGAGGGGAAGAAGAGGGACAGGCACTGATCTCTTCTCTCTGGTGACCAGTGACAGGAGCCAAGGGAATGGCCTGAAGTTGTGTCAGGGGAGGTTTAGGTTGGATATTAGAAAAAGGTTCTTCACCCAGAGGGTAGTTGGGCACTGGAACAGGCTCCCCATGGAAGTGGTCATGACACCAAGCCTGACAGAGTTCAATAAGTGTTTGGACAATGTTCTCAGACACATGGTGTGATTTTTGGAGTTGTAGTGTGCAGAGAAGGGAGTTGGACTCAGTGATGCCTGTGGGTCCCTTCCAACTCAGGATATTCCATGAAATCCAACTTAATTTTCTAAACCTCTGAGAGCAAAACCAAATTAACTCTGTCATTTTGCTGATACACAAGTTCTAGTTTCTCATAATTATTAGATCAAGCTTAAATTTTATTTAAATCCCATCTTATGAAAGCATTTCTACTTCCAGACAAGCATCACAAAACCAAGCTCAGTACTAAGCGTAACATACAGATCTTTACTCCAATATACAGAAACAAACACGGCAGTACTTTATATACTCAGACAATTTTTTATTATCTTTCCTACACACCCTCTTTAACACAGCATTCTTTTCTGATAGGTTTTTTTTTTTCATCAGTGCTTTAAAAAACAAAGGCTCTTCACTATGCTGTAATCAACATCATTTAATAGAAGTCACTCTTGGCTGGATGCTTTGGGTGAAGTGCAGACCTGATCTTGACAGCAACGCTGGTTATACTTTACAAGCAAAGCCCAAGATAAGGGCTGCAGTGCTGATGCAGCTAATTCATGCCTGGCAGGCCACGGTCCTCATCCTCAGAAACTTTCCTTAAAGATGGGGTTTAAAGGGTACTATAATTAGAAGAAGCTTTCTTTTTTTTTTATTGTCAACAACAGAGCTCAAGCTCCAGACAAATAACACCTAGTGACAGATCTTCACACAGCAAGTAACTCTTGAGTCACTCTTTATACTTCCTGCTAGATTACTTTCATAAAAACTTTTACCCCACTCCCTTTGCGCAGTATCAGTGAAATCAAGGCTGCGCACACTAACGAGGATACCAGAAAGGTTTCCTACAGCTGTAAAAAGCCCACAAGATCTCAAACGAAAAAGCATCATCTTACTGCTATCCTGCCTTTAGCTGCCTGCTGCCCTTGTTACCTCTACATCTGGCGACCAAGATCAACTTTTTTACTGTCAGTTCAGCAGTTATTTTATCTGTTCCTTGTCTTCCAAACTCAGGCCTTCTAAGAAGGTCTCAGCTTTCTTTTTCCAGCCCTGCCTCACCCTACAGAAAGTCTGTGGGAGCTGCATTTTATCTGACCGTTGCCCGAACTGGTCCACGGTGACGATTTTCTCGGGCTGCCATGTCACTGGAGCAGTTTCGGAGGGGATGGATTTCCCTCCGGGACATGTTTTCTGCCAACACTTGGGAATCAATCCCGGCGCAGGGCTGTATTTGCAGTGTACCAACTCCCTCCGCCCGATGCGCGCCCGGTGTGCATGGACGTCCCGGGCGGACCCGAGGGCGCTTCCCGCGAGAGGCTCCGTCCAGACCCGCTGCATGCCCAGCAGCTCCCGCCCCTCGGGCACGGCAGAGCCCAACGCCGGCGGGTCCCGCTGAGCCGCTCAGCCCCTCGGTTCGGCCCCGCCCCGTCCTGGGCGTCCATCCCGCCGGCCCCGGGCGGCCGCGGGAGCGGGGCGCGGGCGGAGGCGGGTTAAAAGCGGCGGCAGGTGAGCGGGGAGGGACCTTAAAGCTGCGGGGCGGCGAGACTTGGAGCGGCCGGTCCGCGGGCACCGAGGGACGCGGGAGCGGAGCAGCGCGGCGCGCCCGTCGTGTTCTGCGTGTCCTGCCGAGCCCTGCCAGGTGAGCGTCCGGAGAGGCTCCCGCCTGCCGCATCGGTGGGATCGGGATTAGGCTGTGCGCCCGCCGAGTGGGTCGGGATCCGTGTGGTGTGCCAGAGAGGGGCTCGGGTCGGGGCCGTCCCGGCGGGACTGGGCTCGAGGCGGCCGCCGGCAGCGGAGGGGGCACTATGGGGCTGGGGCAGCCACGCCGCGGCCCCGAGTCCCCGCTGCCCCGGAGCTGCCGGGGAGGCAGCCGTGCCTGGGCGCCGGCTGTGAGCCCCCAGCCCCGGGACCGGCCCGGACTGCGGGGATGCGGGTCGTGGGCGATGACAGCAGCCGGCGTTCCAGGGGGAGCCGTCGGACCTCAGAGCCGAACGCGCTGTTTGCCAGCGGTGCCCGCTGACAGGAGCCGATGGCAGTCGCACCGCTTCCCGCCGCTGAAGGCTCGCTGTAGGCTGCATGTCCGCTCCAGCCGCGCGGGAACGCGGCGGGACGAAGGTCGGCGCGGTGGGAGGGAGAGACGGGGTGGGGTCCAACTGGTAACCCCGGAGTGGGAATTTAGAGTGGTTTTCAATAACGGTGTCTTGGCTTTGGCAAGTTGGGTGTCCCGGTAGATTCACTCTCTCCCCACAGCCAACTTCGGTTTTTCTGTAGTGGCAGATGAACAAGGAGAAATTGTTTTTTCCCAAAAAACTTGCAGCACTGGTTCAGAACTGCAGTGGGAGACAGCACTTGGAGCCCAGGCTGTTCATCTCTGTGATATGCACTTCAAATACTTTCCTTCAATCCTGATTAGCTCCTTGTGAAGGTTTCACTGACTTTATTTTAATGACTATGCAGCAGGCATGAGGAAATTCTTAACAGAAAGATGCAGGTGTCTGATGATAACCTACAGTTTAGGTCAATGTAAAAAGTTGCATAATATGGTGCCAGTTTCAGCAGAGACAAAGCATAAGAAGTCTCAGGAATTCCAGCCATCTTCTCAAAGTTGTTGGGTTTTTTTGTTTTGTTTTTTTTTGTCTTACCCAATTTCACCTTTCTGCATCACAGTAAATCTGACCTCTCCCTCTTGCCTCAAGGCTTGTCAGCACAAGCTAGGGCCTCGTACCAAGGGTATGTGTTGGGACATGTTAGTCCTTTGGTTGTGTTGTACCTACACCAGTGTAAGAAGTTTTTTTTTTTCCTCTCTGTTGTTTGAGAGATTTTTGTAAACTTTGGCCAGTGTTACGTTTCAAGATACCACATTCTCCCCACAACACACAGGTAGCACCAAGAAGAGATGCAGCTCTTATCCATGGCCAGCGTGGCTCTCCCACATAGCACAGCTGAGCCTAGCCTTGAGAGATGATGGACCAGCTATGCAGGTTCCCAGCTCGGGTTTCAAAGTGTTTTGTCCAATTCACTGATAGTTTCCAAGTGGCTGCAATCAGTGAAAGCTGAGCCCCGAGACTGAATTCTGACTTCAGCAAGACTTACTTTCAAAGGAGCAAAGAGTGTGGATTTTAGTCTTTCAGAATAGGAGGAAAGCTGAAATGGATCTTCTCTGAGGTTTGACCTCCTGTATTCTGCTGGGGTATAATAGCATCTAGAAAATCAACGCAAACTCTTTAGCTGAGGACTTTTTCCTTTCAACTCTGACTCTGCTTTTCTCCTTTTTGGATGAGATAGCAATGAATGTGGAAGGGCAGGCTCTGTTGTATCTTTCTTTGCCTGCTGGTTTGTGCTATATAAGCGTGCAGCCCTGACAGAGCTGACTTGAGGCTTCTCACCAGTGTTGGCAAAATCAAATGCTGTAATTTTGAGATTAAGGGTGATGTCTGAGCTGCAGCAGAAGGCCTTGGAGGCCTGCTGGAGGTGTCTGGGTGGAATGAGGACTTCTGCTTAAGGTGGCCAAGTAGTACTTACCTCAGAGGCAAAGAAAACACCAGCTCAGCCTTCTAGGGCTGTGGTGTTGGCAAAGAAATCCTGTAAAAAATACTAGAGAAGTCTCTACTTTGTCTAAATATGGCTTAACTCATGCAGTGATAGTAATTTCTATTGCTTTGGGAAATAGAGTGAAAGGCAAAACACTGTCAAGAGTCAACCACAGAAAGGGAAATAAGAAAGAGATGGAGGGCCTAGAGAATGCACAGAGGAATTGTATTAAGAAGTAACTTATTTTCTGCCCAAAGCCTTGTTGAGAAATACATCAAGGTATCCTTATCCCATCATAAATTCATGGAAGGAGAGAGTTTAATAAGCTTTTTGAATCCATAAACATGTGGACATTAATGAAAGTGACTTTATACTTGCCTGTTGCTCTGGAGAGACTGCTAGGAAGTCGTCTTTTTCACAGAAGGTCTAGAACTGATTTTTCACACTTGGAAAAGTGACCATTCTGTGTATTGTGTCATCCTGCAGGTAAAAGGACACAGAAAAGAAGATGGACTGGGGAACTCTGGAGACTGTTTTAGGAGGTGTAAACAAACACTCCACCAGTATCGGGAAGATATGGCTCACAGTCCTGTTCATCTTCCGTATCATGATCCTGGTTGTGGCTGCAGAGAGAGTCTGGGGAGATGAACAACAAGATTTTGTCTGCAACACACTTCAGCCTGGCTGCAGAAATGTGTGCTATGACCACTTTTTCCCCATCTCTCACATCAGACTCTGGGCCCTGCAGCTGATCTTTGTCTCCACACCTGCGCTGCTGGTGGCCATGCACGTGGCCTACACCAGGCATGAGAAGAAACGGCGATTCAGAAATGGTGAGAAAATTGATATTGAAGAGCTAAAAAATGAAAAGATTCACATCCGGGGACCCCTGTGGTGGACGTACACCAGCAGCATCTTCTTCAGGATCGTCTTTGAAGCTGTCTTCATGTATGTGTTCTATTACATGTACGATGGGTATCAGATGCCCCGCTTGGTGAAGTGCGATGCTTGGCCCTGCCCCAACGTAGTGGATTGTTTTGTGTCTCGGCCCACTGAGAAAACCACATTTACTATTTTCATGCTTGCTGTGTCTGGGATCTGCATGATTTTGAATCTGGCTGAGTTGTGTTACCTAGTGATAAAAATTTGCATGAAAGAACCCAGGAAAACAACAGTTTTGAAATAACTCCCAAGTTTCAGGATCTCCTAGCTCCCCATTTCCCTTAAACTTTCTTAGGTGTCAGAGAACAATAAGCAATATTTTCCACACTCAAGGAAAAGCATAAAAATGAATGTTCATTTGTGTTTAAAAAATTATATCCTCCCTGGGAAGCTGCTACTGATGCAGGTTTTAAATATCATGAGCTAATTCAATATTCCTGCATTCAGAAATAGAGAGGAGCCTTCTGGCAGCAGCCTTTCCAAGTATGCCTGCTGTTGGCCCTCTTGTTGGGACAGAGTCATTTTTCAAAAAGTGGGAATGAAAAGCACCAGAGAAGACTCTAATGCCCAAAGGAGAGCCAGGAATCACAAAACCACTATGTCAGCTCAGAGGGAAGCCAATAACAAAGGGTTTTGGCTAAAAGTGGGGTAAAAGGTTTTTGTGGGACATTACAGCTTGTGAAAAGGAATAAGACAAGGGGTAATTGTGTTTATAGTAGATATCCTCTCTAAGTAATCTAGAGAGCAAGGAAATGGCCTAGGAACACAGGCACTCCATGGCAATGCATGCTATCAGCTCTGCTGGGCACCAGCAATGGCTTTTATCTTTTTATCTTTTTGTCTTCTTGCCTGCACTAAGAAGCATCTCCTACAGGGTTGGATATGGCCAGTCTCAACTGCCTGTGAATGTCATTGGACCAGTGCTGCCTCCCCATAGTCACAGATGCTGCAGCAGTGGGAGGAACAAAATTCATTTTTCATTCTCTAGATCAGGTGAAAAAAAGGACTGTCACCTCTGAGAAGGTGCAGTGCAACTGTCTTCCTCCTTCTCTTGTTCTCCCCTAATACTTTGTGAAGAACCTCAGTACAGTAGACTGTACTCGATGAAGAGACTTTTTACCACCTGACTGTGCCTCACTTAGCTGTGTACCTTTCAGTAAAAACAGAGAAAAATTGCCTTGCTTCATTTCTGTTTGTCATCCAAAAGAAGTGCTTCAACTTACAGCATGATATGGAGTGCTCCTTCCATGTACCCCTTTTTTCCTATCCAACCTGCACAGCTTTTCTTCATAAAACCTTTTCCCTATCTGATGTACCTTTCAAATGAGTCAAGCAAACCACTCCCAATCTCTCTGACATTCCACATTGTGAGATTAAAACACCATTCCTTTTCTTACAGTTGGTCTAGCATAAATTAGAGACAACTTGCAGAGCTAAAATAGCAAAGTGAACCAATCAGAAATGAGGAGGAACTTGATATTTTTCTTAAAGTTCACATTGTTGAGCTGCAAATTGTATATTACTAATTTGAAGAAATATATGAGTCAGTCTGACCTTGTCTCAAAACATGTTTTATATCTGTCATAGGCACCTACACCAGCACATATGGCAACACAGTTTTATCTCCCAAGTGTCTGCTTATTGAACCCACTTCTAGAAAGCTGGCTCTCTCTCCTCCTGAGCTTTAATTACTGGCTTTTCCCCAAAATGAATAATCACTAGCTCACCTTCTCTCTTTGCATTCATCTTTTACTGTATGTTTAAATTTGTCACTGTTGGAGTAAACAAAGCTGCATGAATTAAGGCCCATGGCCCCTCACTGTGCACTGGAAGCGGAGCATGAACAGGCTTCCATTGCTTGTGAGCTACATCAAGTCAAGTGTTGCAACTTGACTGCAGATGGAAATCTGTTATCTAAGAGGGGAGCAAGGAAACCATGAAAACACCATCCTCAGAAGCATGAACAAAAAGATAGTCATTCATAATGAGCTGGACTGGAAACTTGGAGGGCGAAAACATCCTTAATTCAACTCCAAAGAACAAAGTTTGGCACATATCAGGTTTGTACTTGATAGAGTTCCTGCATTGTTCCATACACAAGTACAAAGAGAACGTACTATCTAGTGCCAGTGCTCTAGTATTACATTTCTTTTGTAACAAGATTTTTATTTTTTTCTGAAATTATAATTAAAGCACATATATGTGTGTGTGTTTTCTGTATTACTTGTACATGCTGTGTGTTACCTAATGTGTCTAATGAAATCTGTTTTACTACAACGGAAAATGTATGCACCAATCCTACATTTAATAGCCAAGGTCTAGTGAAAGGATTTTAGTCTTCTGCTGCAGGTTGGTTTTTCAGTTGGTTACATTGCCTGTTATACTGAAGTTTCGTGAGCTCACAGTGGACGATCCACGTATGTGCTCTACATGAAATAAAATATGCTGCGTAAGACAGCCTTGTGCTGGCAGAATTGCGGCTGGAAAAGGCCAGTGATAAATTACTTCACTAGCTCTATAGAGAAGAGAGTTCGTTTTCCCAGCCTGCCTTTGAATTTAGCTGGAACTTGAAATGAGACACACCAAAGCCATTAACACTAACACGATGAAGTTATCTTCAACTAGCAGTTTGGCAACCAGATCATCACACGGGGTAAAAAGATAGAACTGGGGAAAGTGTCTGGAAATAGCCGAGAGACGGCTTTGATCCAGGACTGCAGCATCAGGCAATAATAGCTCTACCAGGACATATTTACTGTCTCTCAGATTTATTTTCTGTATATATTTAATTTGACTGAATAGCTGCTTTATATGGGGAAAAAAATTCAGATACTTTATAGGAAATGGGAATTGCACCTGTTTCTGCATATGCTACATTGTATAGCTGACCTTCTACAAATGGATTTCTTATAGATTAAAATACAATGCTGTTTTGAAATTGTGTTTGTTCCTTCTGGAAATGCACTACATTTGGTACTTGGTTCCTGGGCTTTCCTCAGAATGAAGGTTTCAAGAGTGTTGAAAACTGAAGCTGCAAATCTGAGGTCATTACTATTTCCTCATGAGGCTGATTCCTCACTGTTCAGTGTCCAGTAAAGTCAGGATATAAAATGTCATTAATAATGTGTTATCAGAAGTGGGAGGTGTAGGAGTGGGACTGGCTGGAGTTATAGCTTGACTGAAATCACCAGAAAAAACCACCATTGACTTAATCAGGTTAAACGTTCATCCAAAACCTTGAAACCAGAACTACAAACATGTTTGTCAGAAGGGGAAGGAAAGGAGGGGAAGCAAACTTCACTATTAACTCAGAGATGCATCTAGAGAAAAAACCCTAACTACTGTGGGAGAAAGGCGGATTTGAAAGGAAGTCAGAAGTATAAATCTGTATTTATGACTTCTGGATATAGAAGTACTTTTATTAAAAGTTTTCTAGACAAAGATAAAAAAATCCTTCAGTTGTTTACAGTCATCATGAGCCAATGCACTGTGTTATTTTGTATCTGACAGGAAGTATATAAAAGACAAATTATATGGTCCATACAAAGAAGAGCACTCCTGTACCATGGAAGTTCAATTCAAAATAGCAACTCTGTTAAAAGCTGCTTTATTTTGTAAAAAGTGTACTGCACCAGTAAGCAACACCTGAGAGCATTTTACTACTAACTAGGTGAAAATAAATCTGTTTTTTCCCTCTAATTATAGTCCCCTCCCCTGCAAATTCAGCTAATGGGTTTTACTAGGCAACAAAATCACACTCAAAAGAATTGCACTATATTTTTGGTCACCTATTCTAATATTCAGGACGGCCACTACCCTGACTGTTATTTACAGTTTTATTTGGATTTTCACAATCTTATTACCTCCACAGTCATTTGAACCTGTTTGTAGACAGTGGCAAGAGTAATGGTAACTATTTGAAGCTTAATGAGCTAAGACTAATGGTAATGATCTTCAACATAATTCAGAAGATACCTGTATTTTTTTCCCCATCTGTCCAACCCAACTTTTACAGAGTATTTTTCTCTTCTGTAAAGCTGGCTCAGCTCTGACCTGTGTATTTTCTATATAAACGTTCCTAGCCACCAAAAAGTCCTAATAAGCTAGGTTTGGAAACACATTAAGCTTTAATCAGCATGTCCAGCTGAGGAAACAAGTCACATCTCAGACTCTCCACCTTTGAGAACATAGCTTGCTTTTGCTATGGTTGGTCCCCCGCTACTACTATGGAAGTCAGCGTCAGAATTGGTCACATCATTGCACATACCTTCTCCCTTTTTCTGCCAGTTTAATCACTGCCACGAACTCAAAGTACTGTTTCACATCTGCCTGCTCTGTTCCCAAATCCAATTGAAAGATAAAGGTGACAACTGTGTCATGTTCACAGGAAGCAGAACAGTTTAATCAAGCATTGTTAAGGTCATTGCAACAGGTGCCAGAAAAAATATTTTATAATTATTGTGTGGTAAAGATTTCAAACCTACTGTATGTTGCATCATTAGTGTAATGTCTGCTTACAGTTTGTCATGTCCCTGCCCTAGGTATTGCATCCTTTCCGAGGACTGAGATTTTAATATACAGTTTAAATAGCTTCCACAATATGTCCAGCACAAATAAAAACGGTCCATACACTTACCCACACATGTGTGCACAGATACAGAGCAACAAACTCACTAAATCATTCCCTTGCTGTTATTTGATAGAAGATTGAATAAGACATTGCAACGTGGATTTGTCAGGCATAATTTCTGCCTATGCCATGATAAAAGCTTTTGTGTAGAGCAGTAAAATAGATATTAATGACTCATTATCAGAGTATCAAGATCCACCAATGGGATAAACTTTATGCAGCTGGGAGGAGCTGCAGGTACATGGGAAGATAGGCTTAGGATTCAATAAGATCTTTATCACTGGGAGAAATGGCTTAACAATAGTAGTTTTAGAAGTTAGGAAAGTCTAAATGCTACCATTGTGAAACACCAAGCACTTGCAAAACTGTCTGAAGCAAAAAACAGTTTTGTAAAGATGAGCTAGAGTTTGTAGTAAAACATCAGTGGAATATGAAACAATAAAATTGTTGCCTTGAAAAAAATATCATACAGGAATGCATTACAGGTTTATCAAAAATAGGATGTTTGAAATAAAGTTTCCACTTCTGTTAGTACCCGAAAATCTTTATCTAGAGCCTACTTTGGGGCACCATCTGCCCCAAAAGCCCATTTATCAGCTGGAGAAATATAGGGGTCAGGAATAATATGCCATCAAATATCTAAAACACAGAACCCATGAGGAAAGACTGGAAGAAATTAATTGGCCTGGAAAAGCCTGAGGAAAGACCCAGCAGCATTCTTCAAATATGTAAAAGATTGTGGCAAAGAAGAGACGAAGATGTTGCACTTTACATTCACTCACAATAAGACAAGAAATAATAGGTTTATGTTGCAATGGGCTGTAAGGTAGTGACTGCAAAATCTCTCTGTGAAGAAGGTTAAGTTTTGAGTTGGTTGACAGACTTCATTACTGAAGATTGTTAAATGGCAACTCTGTCCAACATTTGTTGAGGGTAATCTGGGTATAGGACTCTGCTCTAGGATAGAGGGAACTTCTAAAATGTGTGAGGAAGGGGATCTCAACTGAAAGAGTCAGTTATACAGGTTCCTTTTGCTGAGACAAAGCTCAGCTGTTGAATCAAAATCTCTTTCATATAAATTCAAGTCTGTTTGCCAGAGCAGGGTCTATCCAGCATGATCTCTGTCAGCATGGTTCCTTTGTGCTTTTAGCAATTGTAATAAGACATTCTTTTGTTGTAACATGTTCCACCTAACAAAGCATACGAGATGTCATTGTGAGTAAATAAAATTGCAATTAATATAAATGGAGTTGGTGATGGAATTATTTTTGTTCTCCTCAGCATAGTGAGGAAATAGCTCCTTATCCCTTGGTTTAGTGTCTCACAAAAGAGGCATTCTTCCCAGCAGGAAGAAGGCTGAAACCCAGATCAACATTCAGTTTTGCTGCCCATTTTACTACATGTGCAAACATTGGTGGAGTTGACTGAAGCCTGGTCTGCACGCAGAATATTTCCCAGCAATAGCATGTCATTTTGTGCTACTGATTTCTTTAACTTGAAAGGCAGACCATCACATTGTGCAGCAGTTTGAAATTTGTAGAAAAATTTTCCTATACTTAGTATCTTTTTTCTACTTCAAAGCAAGATAACTATTGCTGTTCCTTTCTGTGGAAGCTAGTCATTATTTGAGGCCTTGACAAAGTCATCACACATGACAATAAGGTATGTTCTTGGTAAAACATGCTGTATTTGCTCTTACCCTGAATACAATGAGAAAGAACATCCTGTTTAGGAGCCTTGGTTGTGGTTTGGCACTGTGAATCGTTCACTAGCAATACTAGTTTGGGGCATTAACACTGATGTCATCCCTTCTCAAACTGTCTGTGTCTCTTTCCCACCCCATTCAACATTGTGCCTCAGCTCCAGTACCTTTACTGTGCCAGCACGGTAGTTTGCACAGCTGTGCTCAGCACTGGATTGACTGACTGTTTTAGCTGATGAAGAAACAAGTGTTTTGTTTTGCTGGATTGTTTTTTAGCTGGATCAATTCCTTGATCTGGCTTACAGGGACGCCACATGAACTTCCACGCTGACATGACTGTGGGGCAGCAGGCCACAGTGTTGGGCAAGAAGAGCTGCAGGGAGTGAGTGGAAGGGGTGGAGGGAATGGCAACATGTTTGTTTGATGCTATACACACTGCAATTTCAAACCACAGCCTCTGGCTGTGTTTTCCTGAGCGACTGCTACTAGAAAGTCAAAGTCTTAACTTCCTTTTCCCTTTTTTGCTGCTGTACCCTTCCTTGCTCTCTATTCGTCTCTATTGGCCCTGCTTCTGACCTACTGGCCATCTTCCCCCCTGCTCCAACACAATCTTCCCTCAACTTTTGTATTAGATGATTTAACACATTAACTCAGCAGAGAGCTATTTGAACTCTGCATTTTGATGTTTTTTTTCAGCTCAGTTAGCTTTCCGCCAGGCTTGTGGCAAGAATGACTGTATTTCAATATATTTATTCCATATTTCTGCCTGTAGTGTGGAAAAAAAAGTAGCATCACACCATGACAGAATGATAGCAGGTATAATTCCTCTTAGGATCCTGCATGTCCTGTGTCTTTCTTTTTTATTCTTCCTCCTAACAGATGCCTGGCTTGTACAGTTATAGTTCTTCCTCTAATACATTTCATATGGAGCTTTTGCTTCCATGAACATGACCAGAAAGCATTTCACTGCTACGTATCCCAGAATATTCAGAGTTTTGTTGTTGTATTAGGAGATTTCCCACAGTTCCCAAAGGATTTTGGAGAGGAAGCCAGTTCTGGTGGCTTAAACACCAGCCTAGAGTTTCAGTGCTATTCTCCGAACCATATAACCTAGGACAAGATATTAAGTCTTCCTGTGGCTCCATTCCTACAAACTAGAAGTCAGATTAAGTCTTCCTACAAACTAGAAATAATAATAATTCTTCCTGTCACCAGTTCTTGCTTGTTAATATGCTGTGTTCTCTGATGTGTTTGGCAGTAGTGTGTAACAGAACAGAACACTATTCACTAATTGATAAGATAATAAAAATTACTATGTAATATGAGATGAAACTATTACTTCAGTCTTTTAATTGCCATTTTATTTATTATTTAATTAGTTTTAAAATATTTCCATGTAAAAACAGCTAGAGAAGAAAATGTTTTAATCCTCTTTGCTTCAAGCTATGCCTCCCGAGGTAGCAGTACCCATTCCCAACATTTAAATATCTTTAGTGCCATCTTCTGTAGCGCAGCAGCATGTCAAGCACAATTCTTTTTATTAACGTGCCATACAGTGCCACAACAAGCTGAACTGAAGGCATTTGTAACTGTTTTTTTTTAAGGCTGACAGTGTGGACAGAACTGTTGTCAGCACTGCTGAGCCATGGGTCACTTTGGCGTGGCTTGCTTATGACATGTACCACAGCTGAGGGCTCTTTCCACTAAACTCTGTTCAGATGCACAGTTACGGTAAGAGTGACCCTCTTCCGTACTTCAATATAGATGTTTAAATTAGAAATAGCATGGGGGAAACACTGTTTTGGATCAATCCTGATCTGAAAAAGTCCATTTTTCTTGTTGAGCAACAGCTCAGGTTCAGATTAAGGGCAAGATGTATCTCCTAACTTACGAGATCTTTTTATCATTTCATAAAGCTTTGTGTCTATTTCTTATCTTCTTTCTATGTTATCATCATGGCTTTGCGAACAAAGATTTGGGAAGGGCTCTACCCACATTTGTTACAAGTGTGCTGGTGGCTAAAAAGGCCAATACGAGATAGACACGTCCGGTTGCAAAAGGCACAGCAGAAAGACTCCTTAGGTGGTATATTCTGCTCTTTCCATGTACCTTGCCATGAAAATCCGATTCATCTAATCTTAAAAATACCTGGCTGACTGCTTTGTCTCCACACTTCTTGAATTCACTTTTTTGCTCCACCAGCCAAATCATATACTGCTAAATGTCTGTCTACATGGGAAACAGGGGTTGTCACCTGGGTGGAGGCTTGGATGGAAGACCAAAGGTGTTAGTAAAGAAAATAATTAATCCCTCTCTGCAGATATTGAAAACCCACCAGGATGTGTTCCTGTGTCATCTGCTCTAGGTGACCCTGCTTTGGCAGGGAGATTGGACTGGATAATCTTCAGAGGTCCTTTCCAACCCTAATGATTCTGTGATTCTTTGATAAATGAAGGCTGAAAATTTTGTAAGTATGCATTTTAATGTAAAAAATTTAAGTTTTATGCTGCTGTCTAGTGTTAATGACAATGGAGGGAACCTTTTAAACATAATGAGGGCTGGCAGTGTTGAAGATAAGTGAGGAAGCTAGCAGGATGGCTCTTCCATGGAAATCCTTCTGTCAGAAAGAGACACTTTTTAACACCATTAACTAAATCTGAGCATAGACCCTCCTTTTCTAGTATATGACTCTATATAGCCCTCCATACTGCCTTGACATGCTTCCATGCTTGGGCTTTCACCAGTACATAATTTGTTCTTTATTTTTAAAGCTGCTTCCTTTAAATTTTCCCCATGGATTTTGCATACTTGCCTATCTTATTTTTCACAAATGATCCAGAGGGTTTTGTTGAGAGACCAAACCTCTTCTTATATGATGCCAGAAGAAAATTCTTGGAAAAGAAATTGTTAGCTAATGGCCATAGTCCCATGGTAAGCAGGCATTGCATCAGATTCTCCCCATTTGAAACATAATGGTTTCTATCATAAAAACCTTCTGTGGCAGTACCGAAAGGCTGCTCTAGAACCTCATTGCTCTCCTGAGTAAGAATACCTTTCTTAAAAAAAAGGTATCAAGGCCAGTTTGTACAGATGGTGAAAAATACCACTTGAAACTTCCAGAGACTGAAAAAGCCACCAGAGAAACACCCAGTGCTTCATGCTATTAAACATTTTGGACAGATAGTGTAAAACAAGATATCTGACTACCTCTCCCTAAAATAAACTTCTTGCCCTTCAGCTGACTTTGTGAGCTAAGAGATTTCACGGCATGAAGTAAGTTATAATATTAGGAATTACTGGGGCTGCTGGGATTCCATCCTCTACCCCAACACAGCCTCTCATGCCCCACTGCTTCAGGATCAATACTGCAGTACTACTACGCTTACAATCATGGGAGCACTGTGCTTCAGCTGTATCACCCATCTCTGAATAGTCATTTGTTCTTGTGCCACCCCTAGTGCTTAGGTCCACAGAGATCTTCCTCCCTAGTGTTTTCAGCTGTAAGATTTATAGGGAGCAATCAAGAATTTGAAGGATACAAGAACAGGGGGATGGTCTGATTCAGTTTCTCAACAGTCCGCTGTTACACATAGCTCCTCAAAGTGTGTCAAATTTTTTTGTGGATGGTATTTTTACTAAATAGAGCAACAATGAGCCATGGGAATGACTAAATTTTCAGCTCTTTTGCTGTAGAGTAGCTATTGACAGAAACTCATACATTACTGCTGAAGAGTCGTTGAGTTGTTGTGCTAGTTTAAGTCATTCTGTCTATCATAGAATCAAGTTGTTCTGTCTTTCATAGAATCATAGGATGGTTTGGGTTGGAAGGGACCTCAAAGATCTAGTTCCAACCTGCCCTGCCAAGGGCAGAGACACCTTCCACTAAACCAGGTTGCTCAAAGCCCCATCCAACCCAGCTTTGAACACTGCCAGGAATGGGGCATCCATAGCTTCTCTGGGCAACCAGAGAAGTGTCTCACTATACTCACTGTAAAGAATTTCTTCCTAATATCTCATCTAAACATACCCTCTTTCAGTTTAGAGCCATTCCCCTTGTCCACTCACCACATGCCCTTAATAAAAAGTCCCCCTCTGACTTTCTCATAGGCCCCTTTTAGGAACTGGAAGGCTGCTGTACGGTCTCCTTAGAGCCTTCTCCTCTACAGACTGAACAGCTCCGCAAGTCTCTCAGTCTGTCTTCATAGGAGAGGTGCTCCAGCCCTCTAATCACCTTTGCTGCCTCCTCTGGACTTGCTCCAACAGGTCCATGTCCTTCTTATGTTGGCAGCCCCAGAGCTGGATGCAGCACTCCAGGTGAGGTCTCATGAGAGCAGAATAGAGGGAGAGAATTACCTCCCTCGACCTTCTTTGTCCAGAATCACCTCTCACACTGCTTTTGATGCTGCCTAGAATGCAGGGCTGTTTGTCTTTCTCAGGGCAACACTATAGAATACGCAAAAACCTAACCAAAATGTAGGTGACAGTATTTTTGAGTCCTGAC